ATATATATATATATGGAAAGAGAGAGAGAGAGAGAGAGTAGCTAAAACTAAGAATCATTTAAGAACCCCCAAGATTTATCCACAACATTTCCAGGAGATAAATATTATCTCCACTTAAGTCTATAAAGAAGGATGCTTGTTAAGTAAAAAAGATAGGCCATGATCGTGGGAGGTGGGTAATGACAAATAAAGATCAGACTTCTCAAATTAAAATGAAAACTCAATTAAAAACAATACGTAAAAGTCAACATTGTTAGCTAAGCATGTTACAAGCACACTCGGGAGGATCAGGCAGGACAGCTTGAGCTCAGCAGCCTGAGCGAAGAGGAAACCATGGCCTCTGGGCTCTGCTCAGCCCGCCCCAGACCCATAGCTGTGTTTCTGTTCTCCACCCCTGCTTCTCCAGAACCAACCTGGCAATCTGAGTTCCGGAGCCGTGTCTTTCTGGAAGCTCTCACCGAGGCTCCACAAGCTGAGGCTGTGGGCTGCAATCTTGGCTGCCCCCAATTTCCAGCTTTCTGACTTTGTGAAACTCACTGAAAGCTCTCATCGCCCTGTGCCTACAGTGCAGCTTGATAGTCAGCCGGGGTATACAGCACTTCCTGCCGAAAGCGGGAGCCTGGTGCACCCCAGAGCACCACCTCCCTTTCCCTCCCTGATCTTTCCTCTTTCCTTGGTTGTCTCAGCTCCACCTTAACCAAGACCAGAAAAAAAGTGTTCAAAGACTCCGAGCAGGACCAGGGAGGAGGAGGCCTTACTCCTCCTCGCCACATAAGCAGCTTAGCATCTAGTCCTTACCTAGATGAAGGAGTCTCCTCCATCTTCAGTAACTTCTCACACTCCTCGCCGTTCTTAGAAGGGGTTTCGGGCTCTGCTTGGTGAGAACCAAACATTACAAAGAATCTGCAAGCTTCAGTCTGTGCTAGCTCACAGCAAATGATGTCCCTGCCCATTTCAGCAAAGCATCTCCCGGCAAAGGCCTAACATAGCAGCATCGTTCAGAAAAAAAAGGGCTTGTTCATGAATGAAAGATACACACCGAATTTACTCCTCCAAGTATTGGGCAAATGAAGGCCAGCAGAACCCTACTGGCCAAAGAGGAGGAGAAAGATCTGCTATATGTGAAAGTGCCCACCTCAGTCCTGCTCATGGATATGTTGTAGAATGTTGAAAGCACTCTGGAAGTCTCAAGTTCCCAACCATAGGGAATTGTTAGCCAAATTACAGTCCTATTAGATAAAATAATACATAATCTACATAGCCACCACCGACAAAGTTTATACACAGCTCTTAAGGATGCAGGAGATGCCTGTGAAGATATACAAATGCTCTCAGAAGACAGAAACGCTGTGTATATCTTGGGTAAATCCACATGCTAAAAACAAAAGCAAAATGAGTCCTAGAACAAAGACAGAGAAATTTGATATCATAGGATAACCAAAATGTCTCCTTAACTGCACTTAATGATGACTTTCTCACTGTCCAATGCTTTTCGACAGAGGCTGGGTTTTCTTTTAAAATTAACTTCCAGAGCTCAAAAATGTTTTACCCGTGGTGTGGTATGGTGTGTGTGTGTGTGTGTGTGTGTGTGTGTGTGTGTATGTGTGTGTGTGTGTGTGTGTGTGTTTTAAGTTGTGAAACAAATGTCGATTAAATTCTCCACATGCTGGCTCATAGTTGCAATTCCAACATTTAGAAGGCTAAGACAGGAGGGCTATTTCAAACTCAAGGCCAGGCCAGCGTGGCCAACTGGCCTTCATAGTGAGTTCTAGGCCAGCCAGGCCTACTTAGGGAGACCCTGGTTCAAAAAGGGAAGGAAAATGAAAGAGAAGGGTGAGAGACGAGAACAGGGGAAGACAGGGCAGGGCAAGGAAGAAGAATCCAAATCAAGCCGCCCGGGGCACAGGAGCAAGGACTGGATGGGCACAGGACGCTGGGGATGAATACGGAGCTGGTCTTCTGGCACAGAGCTGAGCTCAGGTGTGCACAGCCCTCGATCCTCACCTTGTGGAGACTTTGAATGCTTTTCTGCCTTTTCTTGGTCACTTGGTAGATTCTCCTCTTTCAGCTCTTCGAGGACAGTGTTGGTTTTACCATTGTTAACTATAGACAACTTTTTCTGATTCAAAACCAAATGTTTCACTTCCTCTGGAATGAGAAAATGGATCAGTCAAATATGGCTAGTGGACACCTGCCACACCCAGTCTTCTGACATCTCCCAGGGACATAAAGCAGAAGACGAGAGGATAATCCAAGCACTAGGACAGCTGGTCACACGCCTTCTAGGGCCAGGTACTTGTCCCTCACCTTGCCCTAAGCACCTGTATGTGCTCGCCAATGGGTCTCTGCACCTCTGCAGGGAGGAGTTGCCCTCTATGCAGGGAGCATCTGATACTGATGGGTAACTCTTCTCTATCACAGCCCTTAGAACAGTGGGTCGCAACCCCTAAGGGTCACATATCAGATGTTTAAATTATGATTCATAAATAGAAAAATTATTTATGCAGTAACAATGAAATAATTTTATGGCTGGGGGTCACCACAACCTGAGGAACTACATTAAGGGGTCACAACCTTAGGAAGGTTGAGAACCACTGCCCTAGAAGAACCAGGCTGGCAAACACTCCTTGTTCCTAGGCAGAGAGCTGCACCACCATGCCAGTCCCTCTCTCAGCATGGAGCTTGCTGCATATGACAGTGTCAAGCATTCCATGAATGCATGGAGTGAGTGAAGGTCATGGAAGCCTCAAGAAAGAAGAGGGGGAAAAGAAAGTTAAATTTGACTATTTGTGGTTGAAGGGCAGATAAAAATTTTTAGAGAAAGAAATAGACTGAGAGTTCCCCAAGATGTACTCAGCTGCCAGAGCTGTCAGAAGCCCAGTATCCTAGCAGGTGCTTCAGCAAGATTGGAACCTGAGGGAGCAGGTCCTAAAAGGCCTTCAGTGAAGCACCAGGATCAATGGAGCCCTGGGAGCAAGAGAGACAAGACAGAGGTGGGGTGGGAGAAAGATGCTGAGAGAAACTGAGGCAGATAGCCCCAGGACAAAGCTCCAGAAACTTCAGTCAAGTGGGAAGAGCAAGCAGGTGCTGGGAAGGGAGGGTCAAGCATAGAGAGCATAGGAGGAGCCACCATAGCATCGGTGCACTACAAGAATGATGTCATCTTCACTCAGCACCAGCATCCATGGGGCAGCACATGAGGATGCACAAGGCTAGTTCTACTACAAATATCCCATTCCGACCTCTAGCACACACCTCTAGCACATGGCCTGCCAAACAAGCATCCTTCCTTCTACATACTGAGCCCTCTTAGGACACCCAGGAAATGAAGTGTCTATGAGGTATAGTTAAGTGACAAAAGACAGACCCACAGAAAGGCCATTGGTAATGACCATCTCTGGACCAGACACTGTGTGGTTTTAGTTTTTTCCCCCCTTTTCCTAGACATTTCTAAATGGTTTTTATACAGTGAATATGCACTGTTCCTTTAATGGGAAAAATATATTTAAAATAAGAGTCAGGGACACTAGGCTTGGGATAGAGCTCAAGAAAAAGCTGTTGTTGTGACTCCAAGGCAGATGCCATGGGCCTTCCCCGCAGGGCCCACTGAATGCCAGGGCCCTTTCAGCAGGCAGAGCAGAAGCCACTGCCCCAACATTTGTTCCAATGGCAGGCAGACATGCACCAGAAGAAATTCAGGCCCAGGCCAGGCCATGGAACCCACAGAGAGCACCTGTAGGTGTCCTTCCTTTGGTCTGAGTGACAGAAGTTATATATTGGTCCCATTTTCTCCCATAGAAACTCTCTGATTATTAGTTTAGATTTAAGTCATTAATTCTCAGTGAGCAGTGACTTGAACCACTAAGGACATCTTGCAATATATGAATGAATTCTTGAGCCTAGGACGCTGCTAGTTTTATCCTCAGAAAAGCCCACAACCAGAAAACATCTGGCCCAAAATATCAACAGTGCTCAGGTTACCAAGGGAAACTACAAGCAAGCCAGAGATGTGAAAATGGCCCTCAGGAAGGCAACCTGGGAAGCTAACGTTTCCCCCAAGGTTTCCCAGGCACAGAGAGCTGTTGTGTGGTTCTGCCCCTCCCACTTCTGTACAAGGGTGGCCTCAGCTAACTGTAAGATTGGGTGACTACACTTACCTGAAAGCCAACAGCAAAGACAGCACATACCCCACAGATTCTATGTCTCTAAGCATCAGAGAGTTTTTCAGGATTCACACCCGGCACCCGCTCCTTAGCGGCACTTCATTCTGGTTTTTAAGTTCTCTGTGAACAACACCCTCTCTCCTGTTGCTTGAGTCCTAAGAGGCCACTCTCACCATCGTGCAGGTAGCATGCTAGTAGAGTGGCTACTAATTTCTCTTTTTTTACATATGAGAAGAATATATAAGAACACACCCACATTCCACAGCTGGGATAAGGGGATGGGACTAGCTGGCTGCGACATCACATCATGAGTGCCTGAATCCCTCCCTCCCTGCGGCTTCAGGGAAGGTCAGAAGAATCTGATACTGGTATACACCCACAAGTAAACGTCTCTGTTGTTAGGAATAGCTCTGTAATCACAGCACTAGGGAGGCCAAGGCAGAAGAGTCAAAAGTTCCAGAACAGTCTAGGTGACTTAGTAAGATCTTGTCTCAAACTAAACTTGGGAGAGGGGTACAAAAAGGGCTGGTGAGAGCTCAGAAGTAAAGGTTTGCCTAGCATGTACAAGACCTTGGATTTCACTCCCAGCACCACCACCACAACAAGAAGAACCCTCTGAAATGGGCTACATATGAATGTTAGCATGGTGACCTGAAAGAGGTAGGACTGTGTATAAGCATTCATGTTTAGAGGTGAGGGTGCATGTAGTGGCCTGAGGCTGAAGTTGACTGCCTTCCTCAGTCATTCTCTCCCTTAGTTTTTGAAACAGACGTTCACTAAACCTAAAGCTCACCAGTTTGGCTAGACTGGTGGTCTCAAGTTCCAGAGACCATTTATCTCTACCTCCCCCAAACCGTGGTTACAGATTCATGTCAACACCTGCATCCTTTCCACATGAGTTTTGGAAGGTCAGAAATGGGTCCTCGTATTTGCATTGTGGGCATTTCCAACTGAGCCATTGTCCCAGCCAGAGGAGGTACAATTTTTTAACAGTCAATGTTTCTTTTTCTAGCACTAGAGAAGAAACTCAGATATGCAATGCTTGCCCATTACCACCAAGCTGTACACACAAACCAAACCTTTCTTTTGTGTCTTGGTATCTCTATTTACTTTTGAACAAACCTACAATATCAGTTTGGGGAGACAACCCAGTGACAGTAACTCATGTCAGAACTGCCCTGGACCAAAAGTTCACCAAGGATAGGTGTATAGACACTGCCCAAGTGCTCAAATACACTGTGACTCCCCAGGTATGCTCTGGGTGAATGTCACACCCCAACACAGAAAGTAGTGTGTGCATCAGGCTAATCCCATGAGGACACAAAGGAACACTGGTTTTTACTCTGACGTTACAAATTTTAAATCCCTCATCTTAAATACTTGGGACTTGGAGCTTCTTTCAGATTTTGGAATAAAATGAAGCAACTTAGGGGAAGAAGCTCAACTCTAAACAGGAGATTCCTTCAAGGTGTGTGAACACTCCATTCATTGTTCTGAGGAGATGCTTTGGTGAGGGCCAAATGACTCTCTCACAGAGGTCACCAAAGACCTTTAGAAAACACGGATACTTACATTACAATCCATAACAGTAGCAAAATTTTAGTTATGGAGTAGCAGTGAAAATAATTTTAGGGCTGGGAGGTGAACACAACATGCGGAACACTAATAAAGGGTCCCAGCATTAGGAACGTGTAGGGCTGCAAAGGAATGGTTTGGTCTCCATGGTAGAGACTGGGTTTGAGATAGCTGGAGACCCAACAGGTAGACCATTTCCTGGTGAGGGACGGCATGCATCTCCCCCATGCTCCCAGATTCCAGACCCCCACATGTGACCTAAATCCCCATTACCCTGCATCTTGCAGACACGTTTGGCTCAGAGTAGCCCCTCCCAAAGAGCACAGGTAGAGGGTGTGACTACAGGCCTCAAGCCCTAGAAAGATTTACATACAAATGAAGGTCAGAGGGCGGAGCCAATTAAGCATTCTTCCCCAGACTCTTCCCCCCTTTCCCTCCCTATTTAACTCAGGTCTGCCCTGAGTTTCACGGGGGTACATCCAGATCCAGCTACCATCTGCCATGAAAATAAACCCTTTTGGAACCATGGACTTTCTCATGTCTCTGGGGCCTGCCATGGGGAAACATAGAGAACGCCTTTAATATCGAGCCACCACAACCACAGCACCTAACTTCCTGCCTGGAGGACCTCTCTGTGTTCCAGCCACAGGGACCCACGTCTCCAAGCAAGCTAGCCGGGCCGCCAAGTCGGCTAAGCAAGTACAGTAACCGAGTCTCTCCCACGGGGTGCTGCCAGGGTCTCTTTCTTTCTCTCAGCTGTGGGCCAGCCGGTCACACGCCCACACACACCCCAGTCTCGGTTCTTCCTCAGCCTCTCAGTGGTCTGAGAGCCCAAGGACTTGAGACCAGTTGGTCCCTGTCCACCTCCTGGCCCAGGGATCCCCCAATCTAAGAGCCTTGCACCCCCATGAAACTACCAGACTGAGTGAAACTCCCCTGCCGAGTGGGGCCCTGTAGCGCCCACCCAGTGCCATGCACAGAGTGAACTCAGTCAAGACTCCCACACTCCATGCTGTGGAAATCACAACAGCCCAAGATACAAGAACCCACGCCCAGGCCCACAAGTGAGCTAATCACTCCCCAAAGGAAGGTTGGTACTTTGATGACCTTTATCTATCATGTGAATTCAGCTGTAGAGTTTTCCACTTGAGCCAACCTGTCTGCACTCAGAAAGTATCAAACTTGATACCACGTCAGACTTTAGATTTCTAGACTAGGTATATCCAGGCTGTAGTATGAAAACACAAGTCACCAGAAACATTTAAAATATAAGCAAAATTACCTACTTACCAAAAGAATCGGACTCTTCTGAAAATGCCGCTGTCTTCACCCGGTGGTACCTGACTCTTTTTGAGACTCTGTCCTTGGTGTCCCAGAGCCTCAAAGTGATTTTGTGGAAATTCATTTTCTTTAACAATTCCTTTGTCACATTGACATGAAAAGTTTGGCTCCATGACACCCAGACTTTGTCGTCATCTCTCCATGGCTTTACAGTCTGTGTAAAACACCATTCAGAGACTGGGAAATGAAGGACCAATCTACAGATTAGGCACTTCCCACTGGCCTAGCCCCAGCAGCAGCACAGTAGGTATGACACCCTCTCTGTCTAGCTGGCTTCTGTGCTTGCCTCTCTCCTAGCTCCCAATCACAGGGAAATGAGTCCTGTGTACTGGACCCTGTCAAGTTACCTGTCCCCTGAAAACAGAAATCTACACAAGTGCATGCATAGCACCCTTGATGGTTACTTCCAAGCAATGACTCTGAGCCAAACTATTCCAGGAATCTTCATGTGTGCATGCATCAAGTTGGTATAAGCCCTGCAGATGAACAATCACACACATGTATATATGCGCATAGTAGGAAAGAAACTTTGAGGACTACAGTGAATGTTCAGTACTTAAAAAATTAAAATAAAACTAAAACCATGTTTGATGAAACATTCAAGAAACTACAGACTAAAAATATCTACAGAGACCACGTAATTGCATTTGTAGGACCATTCTGCTATTCTCCTTCTCGTTCCTCAGTTCTGAGATAGCCCCACTCTCCCACATATCTAGAAAACTCCACTGCTGAGCCTGCTGCAGGTCAGTGGGACACACTCTGCAACCAGATTGTGACACTCCATGCAAACACACACATACACACACATACACACACACACACACACACACACACACACACACACACACACAGCACTCACCTTTATTCCTGTCTCCAGAAACACTTTAGCTATGCTAGGAAACATCACGACATCAACTATTTTGGGTTCTATGTCATCGGGCAGGAAAAAATACTCAATGTGGTAGAATTGACGAGCCTTTCCAGTCCGGGTATCTGACTTAGCAGGCTTCTTTTTATCAGGTACATTTGGGGGTTTCCCCTTATTACCTAGAAGACACAGGTTTAATGAGCCTTGTCTTAACCTGGGGGAAAGCAGGTCCAGCCCCACTGCTCCCTGAAGGCAAGAAACATTGCTGTGGTTCGGAAAGGTCTCCAAAGACTACTGCTCAGTGCCATTGCCAGAACGAAATGGAAACTAAGAGCTGAACTTCAATAGAGAGTGTGTCAGTGTGAGTACATCCCCAGAGGTGACACTGGGATGCCAGCGTCTCCTCCCTCTATCTGTCTTTGGCCACATCCCCCACCATGGCTGACATTGAGAGGAGCAGTTTCCTTCACAGGCAGTTTCACCAGAATTTCATGTCAGGGCCCAAAGTAATCACAGACTGAACCTGTGAGCCAAGCAAGTCCTCCCTCATTGTATATGTAGTATCTCTGGTATTTTTCAGGGCAAAGCTGAATAAAAAGAGCTTGGAGAGAAGGTTCAGGCCCAGATCAGCAGAGGAACATCATGCGACTATGCACAATGCATATAAAACTGAAGGGCATGGCTCTGAGAGTGGGTACTCCTAACATTTTCTGTTAGCCACCTTGCTTTTCCCACTCTAGGTGCAGCCCTAAGAAGCAGGTCAAAATCAATAGGACTTGTATGATAGCAGCATGAACAGGGTTCTGAGGTACAACAGGGTGCTTTGGGCAATGTCTACCTGGGAACTTACTTCCCAGGAGTTCTTAGCAGAGTCTTGCAGGAGCAAAGATGGCAGATATCCAGATAGAGGAAATAGTCTGGAAAAAGTTCATGAGTGATGCTGCCCATATCAGGTACATAGGCTGATAAGATACAGGAGTCAGGCTGAGCTCAGTTAGAAACCAGAACTCAAGCAGAGTATGCCAGGAACTTAAATGAACCTTTTAGGTTGGGTCTTTTCCTACCATAAGAAAGCACTTAGGAACACCACATATATCTGAGAATCATTTGTTCAGTTGGCTGATTTTGTTTTGAGACATGATCTGAGCAAGGTTCCCAGGCTGATCTCAGGTCCTTGGACTCAAATGACCGTCCTGCTTCCCAAGTACTTTAGGTACAAACCCAGCTTTCCACACATATCAACCCAAATATCATAGCTATTTTTTAAATACAAAAGAAAAAATGAGAACAAAACTTTTAAATATGATAATCTCTCATCTGATTCCTCTATCTCTTTGAGACAGGATATATCATTATGCTGTCTTAGCTGTCCTGGAATTCACTATGTAGACCAGGCTAGCCTCAAACTCATAGGATCTACCTGCCTCTACCTCCCAGCTCCCAGGACTAAAGGTGTGTACCATCACCGGAACCCTAAAACATGACTACCTTTAAAGCTAGCTTTTTTTCCCCTTTGTTTTTGTTTTTTTGTTTTGTTTTGTTTTGTTTTGTTTTGTTTCTGGTTTCTGAGTGAATTTGTTTACTTGCTTGCTTGCTTGCTTGCTTGCTTGTTTTGCATTTAGGGGTGGGGGTTGTTTCCTTGCTTTCAGGTTGGGCTGTTTCTGTCTTGTCTTTCAGCATTGGGGATAGAGCCCAGGCCTTAAACATTCTAGACACATTGCCACTGCTCCACTCCCAACCCAAGCTGAAGTTTTATGACTTCAGGTCTTTAACCCCAGCTCGCAGCTACTGTACCACTCCCACATTGCCACAGACCTTAAGCAGTTTGGAACAGAGAGCCATTGGCCAATTTCTTTCAGGCATTAAGATCTCCTGTAAAGGTTTATGTGATGGCTAGTTTAATATTAACTTGACACAAACTAGAGACCTCTGAGTGGCGGGAACCTCAATTGAGAAAATGCCTTTGTAAGATCTGGCTATAGGCAAAGCTGTAGGGCATTTCTTAATCAGTGATTGTCTTAGGAGGACCCAGCCCATTGTGAGTGGGGCCATCCCTAGGCTGGTGGTTCTGGATTCTATAAGCAGGGTAAGCAAGCCATGAGAAACAAACCAGTAAGCAGCACTTTTCCATGGTCTCTGAACCAGGTTTCTGCTCTGAGTTCCTGCCCTGATTGCTTTTAGTAATGAAGAGTAACGTGGAAATGTAAACCCTTTCCTCCCCAAGTAGCGTTGGTCATACTGTTTCACTGCAGCAATAGAAACACTGACTAAAACAGTGTGTGGTGGTTTGAATATACTTGGCCCAGGGAGTGTCACTATTAGGAGGTGTGGCCTTGTTGGAGTAGGCGAAGCCTTTTTGGAGGAAGTGTGCCACTTGTGGGGGGGAGGGGGGCTTTGAGGTCTCAGATGCTCAAACCCAGGCTCAATAGTTCACAGGTTTGGTTTTTTTTTTTTTCCTGTTGCCTTCAGATCAAGATATAGAACTCTCAGCTCCTTTTCCAGCACCATGTCTGCCTGTATGCCTCAGTGCTTTCCACCATGATAACGGACTAAACCTCTGAAACTGTAAGCCAGCCCCAATTAAATGTTTTTCTTTATAAGAGTTGCCATGGTCTTGGTGTCTCTTCACAGCAATGGAAACCCTAACTAAGACAACCCCTTTAACCCCAGCATTTGGAAGGCAGAGGCAAGCTGATGTCTGTTAGTCTGAGGCCAGCCTGGTCTACTTTAGCAAGTTTCATGCTGGCCAGAGCTACACAATGAGATCCTGTCTCTAAAAAAAAGAAAATGAGGAGGAGAAGGAAGAAGAGGAGGAAGAAAGAAAGAAGGAAAGAAGGG